AGTTTTAACTTTTTAGGATACTTTAATACATAATACATCAAATGCTGTGTTTCCTCCCTTGAGAAGCTCTGCTAGGCCTTTACTGCAGCCACCTTCAGCTGCTGCTTCATTGTGGGACTCTGTGGCATCAGTATTATCTTTAATAAAGCATGCTCTGTTGGGCTGAGAGGTGACTGACTTGGCCATTGAAGAATATCCAATATTTTTGCCTTGAGAAACTCTGGGGTTGCGTTTCCAGTTTCTTTGGGTCGTTATCTATCTGCACAGTGAAGCTCTCTCTGATCATCTTTGCTAAATTCTGCTGAATATGAACAAAGAGTATCGTTCTCTGCACTTAAGAATACATCCGGCTATTTCTATCAGCAGTCACATCTTCAATAAACACTAGTGACACATTTCCATTAGCAGCCATACGGGCCCCCGCCATAACATTGCCTCCATGTTTAACAGATCATGTGGTATATTTGGGATCATGAGCTATTATTTTCATTCTAAATTCTTTGATCTTCTTAACTATGGTACAAGTTAATTTTTCTTTCACTTCCCCCCAATTTTACTTTTTTAATTTCAAACTGTGCACCAAAAAAGTCTTTTGGTGTTGCTGAGCTGGCCAGTGCATTACTTTTTGTTTGTTTGTTTGTTTGTTTGTTTGTTTTTGTTTTTTCAGATATACCTGATGTTTGGCCATTGCTAAAGTTTTTGCTATCTGGTTGTTTGGGTTTTTTATTTTTTGGTTTTTCGGCCAAATGATTCCTCCCTCACTCTTTGGACCTCATATTGACAATTCAAATTCTAGTAAACAGCTATTAAATATAAATAATCAACACCATATCTTTTTTCTGCTTCATTTGACATGGAATACCAAACAAACAATACTCTCCTGGCAATGAATTATTAATAATAAGTTATTCAGTTACTTTTGAGCCTCTGAAAACAGGTGTTGCGACTTTCATCCATAAATAAAGCCGCGGCCGGCTGAGTTGGTTGTGTCCCTGTGACGCGCCTCCAATAATCCATAATGAGTCGTACTTGTACTTTGCGCATGTATTTTAAGAACAAAACAAAAACAAGCGTTTGCGCTTTCAATCAATTTACAAATAGCGCATGGATTAACTGGTGTGCCAAAAAATGACGGTCAACAGAAAAGTTTGCCCACAAACCACTCACCCAACAACACCTGCTGCGAACACCAACATCAGGTAAATAGACTGTGACCACACCCACATGCCATAACCTGAGACACAGGTAAGGCTATACACCTGTGCCACCATAACAAAAAGGCAAAAGATAAACATTGACTTTGGCTCTTACAACAGGAGACTGTGAAAATGGCAGTTAATGCAATCTTGTTTTTAAAAAAGTCTTTAAAGATGAAAATCCAACACGCTGATCCACTTCTATCCAGGTTAATTTTTCGAATATATTTATTTGTACACTGTCAGTCAAAAGTTTGGACACAACTTCTCATTTAATGTTTTTTTCTTTATTTTTACTACTTTCTACTTTGTAGATACATGCTGAAGACATAAAATTTATGAAGCTAGATATATGTGTGTGTATATATATGAATTATTAAAAACTCTAAATATGTTTTCATATTTTAGATTCCTTAAAGTAGTCACACTTTGCTTTGTTGACAGCGCTGCAAACCCATGGCTTTCTCTCAATGAGCTTCATGATGTAGTCACCTAAAATGTTTTTCACTTCACAGGTGTGCCTTGTCAGGGTTCATTTGTTAAATTTCTTGCCTTCTTAATGGGGTTGGGGATTATAAGTTGTGTTGTGCAGGGGATGTACACAGCTGACAGCCCTATTTGACACCTGTTAGAATTCATATTATAGCAAGAACCAATCAGCTAAGTAAAGAGAAACGACAGTCCATCGTTACTTTAAGAACTGAAGGTCAGTCAGTTCTTGCTAAAACTTTGAATGTGTCCCAAAG